AAGAAAGAAAGAAAGAAAGAAAGAAAGAAAGAAAGAAAGAAAGAAAGGAAGGAAGGAAAGAAAAGAGTTCACATGACCACATTCTTCCTGTGGCTGAGTTGTCATTCACAGCTTTGCCTGAAAGTTGCTCCCCATAGACTAGTGACCAGCAAAATCTGACTATCCCAAGAATGGACATTGCAGCTCTGTGATCTATAAACATGATATCTCAGATTCTCAGCTAGAAGGATCTTAGATTTTGAACTGGAAGGAAACTTTGGGGTCAGTGAGGCAAATATCCTCATCTTACAGGTGAGGAAACTGGGGTTCACTGAGGTCAAGTGACTTATCCAAGGTCACACAGGTGTCTGTGGCAGGTTTTCAGCTCAGGGCTTCTTGACCTCACATTTAGTGCCTTAATCATTATACTACCTTATGTCTCAAGGACTGCAATTTCACAGATTGCCTAGATACATCGCTAGATAACACTAGACCGCGATTTTCTCATATAACTGCAAGTCTCTTGTTCCTAAAGTTTACCATGTCCAAAAACAAATATGGCAAGAGCATATTGACGTGGAAAACCACAAATTAACATTACCTATGTTGTATTATATTTTTAGCTATTTTGTTAACCATTTTCTGATTGCATTTTAATTTAGTTCAGCTGCACTGGGGAGTTTTGTGCTGGGAGACAGATAGTGCTGACCTCATTACTTTCCTTTGAAGAGGATCCAGTTCAACAGTGTCTTCCTTATTGTAATGGAAAGAGTCAAAGGGTCAGGGCTGAGATCCTGGCTCGGTCACTTACTTATCTGTGTGACCTTGAGCAAGATGCTGAATTTCTCTGAGTCTCAGTCTCCTGATCTATAAAATGGACTAGATGCCCCTTCCAGCTCAAAATCTATGATGCTATGACCTTACAGTTCAGCACCCAGAATTGAGCACAGTTCTTAAGGACTACAATGTTTTCATGCAAATATTTCTTTTAAGTGACAATAGAAACCAATGGAAAAATTATATCCTACCATAAATGGGGTAGCATAGCTGGGGGGAGGAGTGGAGAAGAGGGAGGAGGAGGAGATTAATAACCAACTTTTAATTTTTATTTATTTTAAAATTTTCTAATTTTTATTCTGAACTTAGCAGACACCACATAAAATAAGCATTTCCATGTACAATGGATAGCAGATAAATAGGATGTACAGGAAACTGCCATCTCAGTTATGGTCAACTTACTTTTCCTTTTAAGTGTATAACATAGCATGCATCTTTCAAAGGTGTCCTATTTGTATGTGTTTCCTTCTGTTCTTTTCAGTGCATTTAAAAAATGTTTCCGTGAACCTCTTTTCTTTCATTTCTTTTTTGGCCATTCTTTCTCTATTCCTTTCTCTTTACCCTCTACCATGAAAAAAAAGGAAGGAAGGAGAGAAGAAAGGAAGAAAGGAAGGAAGGAAGGAAGGAAGGAAGGAAGGAAGGAAGGAAGGAGGGAAGGAAGGAAGAGGGAAGGAAGGAAGGAGGGAAGGAAGGAGGGAAGGAAGGAGGGAAGGAAGGAAGGAAGGAAGGAAGGAAGGAAGGAAGGAAGGAAGGA